CGCACCAACGACGCTGCATCCTTGATGCATATAGGCAAGTGCAAGGGCATTGGATTGCATCGCCACTAGGAGGAAAAGCGCTACTAGGAACAAGGCGCAAAGATGTGCCAGGAGACTTATATGTGCACGAGGCTACAATGCCTGGCACCAACCATCGAGAGATCTTCAATTGGTCGTGTCGACAAGGCGCCCGCAAGACGTGCTGGCAACGCACGCGACCATTTCAGGGAATGTGGTTAAGGCAGCTGAGCTCTGGCTCTCGGCCAATCGGCCAATGGTGCAACGCTGACGCTAGTCCCTGCACGATGAGTTTGGCCTCAGCGCCAGTGGCGATCGAGCTGCACAGTCTCCGGCAAAGGGTGGCATGACAAATGAAGTCCAAAACAATGTCAGCCAGGGCAAGACCACTGCCGCTGCTTTACAAGGAAGCCGCCTCCTTGGAATCTCTTCAGCGAGAGCATCCAGGCGCACGCGTCGCCACTGGAGGAGCACTTGCGGCCACTGGGCCTTGGAATCTCTGCTCCAAGCAGCTCAACCTCGAACTGCTCAAATGGCGGGCAAAACCATATACAGGTCTTCCCTGGCCCGCAGCTTCGAGCTGGTTCTGTACGATGCGCAGCAGGATGCGTGTGGACATATTGATCTCTCACCTCACAGGCAAGCAACACCTGAAGAAGGTGAGACAACTAGCGCCTGCTCACGCTCAAGCACTGGCGGAATTTATTCCTTCATCAACTTACAGTACCGCCAAAGACGCTGCCCTCGCTACATGCCCTAAAGCAGGCATCTTTCATATGAGGCATGTGGGTACAGAGAACTGCCTCTTGCGCGAGCTGCCACCGGCACTCACCATCAATCTTCGCTCGCGTGGCTCTTCCGGTCATCGGTGACTCTTCAAGTCGTCGACTACGGCTTCGACGAGGAAGATACCCTGGACTTTTGCCCTGGCACCTGCGGGCGGGTCGCTCTTCTGCGCAAAGACTTCGTGTCGCTTGGTCTCTATGATCAGGAGGCTGACCACATGTGTGCCCAGGACACCCCACCTACGATGGAAGCATTATTGGAAAGTTCCGTCCAAAAGCAAGGGAAGGCTTGATGCGTGTGCATTTCGATCAATGTTGCTCCATCGGTGCCGCACTTTAGACTTGTCGGGTTCAGATCTGAAGGGATGTCCTCCTACATTCCAGACGACCGCAAGTGCCACCATTGGACACCTCGAGGCGGCCGCGCAGTGAAACTGCAGGCCTTGTGGAACCGATAGGCTTGGGATCGGCACCCATTGCGCCATTGGGGCAAGCAGACCAGCCCAGGAGTCTGAGAACGAGGTGGAGCAGGATGAAACTGCGCAAGAAGAAGCAGATGGTGCCCCACCACTTCAGATGCATCAGCTTTGCCATCCTCCAAAGGGCTGAAGTTGAGCCCAAGGATGGCGAATTGTGCGGACGAAGTGCACAACAATCATGCCGACAATTCCTTGAGCTGATGATCTTGCACAGGCCGTTGGCACCAAGCTGAATTTCAGCAGTGCTTCGAGACAGGTGTCAGAGCAAATCTGGCACAATGCCAGCGGCCTTACATTAAAGAATCTGAAGGTTGATTGTGGGGTCTTCTTTGCTGGCCCTACTGGTGGCCTAAAGCTATTGGAGCAAGCGGACCATCAAATCAGCCTGTGGAGCCAGACATCTCAGCAATGGACGACTTTGTGAAGGCACTGTGGAGCACTATGTTCGCTGGTGGCCGAGTGCCCCAGGTCCAGTGCCTGGCGGCCATGCCGTCAATGTTGTGGATGGCGTGCCAAGAGCTTGCATCTAACAGGTTGGGGTCACTGCATTGACAGCAAACCCCTACAGCGAGGCTGTCTTGAGGAGAGCAAGACTGGCCAGAACACCAACCGACTGCGTTCCAAGGCATCTTCGGTAGTGCTGCTAGAAGGACTAGTCCTCACTTGGATTGCCGTCGTGAATTTCGCCCTCTTATACGGCATCGAGCGGCGTATTCAGACTACCCAAAGAATGCATGGCCAGAGATCACACATGCTGGAGAACACCAAAGTGCTGCGCCTGCCACGCAAATCACAGCAGCACAGACGCAAATCCCACACAAATCACAGCGGCACAGCAGTGCAGCCCCAGCGACACCAGGGGCAGAGCTGGAGTTCAGTTTGACCTTTCGCTAGCTATAATATATATATATATATATAGCTAGGGATATATATAGATCTAGATTACTGGTCTGAGGACTTCTGTGTTCTTGGCGATCATGCATCCTGCATGCTGGAGTTCTTTGTGGAAATGGTTCCTGCATGAGTTTATGTAGCGCGTTCTTGGGGTCATATAGTAGTCCCGGGGTTCTTTGCAGTTCATGGTCTGAGCAGTTCTATGTCCTTGACTGTCCTGAAGTTCTTTGTGGAAATGGTCCTTGGATGTCCTTGGCATGGGGATCATGAGTCTGAACAGTTCTGAGTTGTTTGAGGCCTCTATGTAGCTCTTGGCAATCATGTGCCCTGGAGTTCTTGTCCACATGGAAGTGGTCCATGGAGTTCAGTTTATCACCTGTTCTTCGAGTTGATGAGTACATGTAGTCCTGGAGTTCTGATTGGTTGTCATGTGTCCTGGAGTCCTTTGTGGAAATGGTCCATGGAGTTCAGTTTATCACCTGTTCTTCGAGTTGATGAGTACATGTAGTCCTGGAGTTCTGATTGGTTGTCATGTGTCCTGGAGTCCTTTGTGGAAATGGTCCATGGTGT